GCTTCTAGCTCTTATTCATAGAATCTGTTGGGTTGTCATCAGAAAGTGCCCATTTATTTATTTCCTTTTCTTTGGAAGGCACATAATAGCATTGCTGTTTTACTTTCTGCGTCACTGATACAATCGTTTTTGTATCTTGTTTCAGACATTACTGCAGGACAGGTTCAACTGCTGAACAAAGTAAGTTTTCCTCTGCAAGTTATTGCGAACTTGAATAAATTAAATTCCTACTCTGTCTTATTTCTTAAAAGTTAAAACACTTAGGAATGTACTAAGATTGGATGGTAAATATGATTGTTGTACTTTGTGGATAGACACCATGTAATTGTCCTTGCAATGCTGGAAGAGTGGCTATGTAGATTCTGGAAAGTGTAAAGGAGCTTTTAATGTTATGAGCAAATGGGAGATTTCCATTGTCTCTAATCTCTAATCTTAATGATGTGTACTGCCTGAAGGTTAGCAGTAAGTGGTGCTAACCAGATTTAAAAGTGTTATTTGAGTCATGAATTAGATTTATCCTCAACTGCCAACAGGTTCTACATGCAAAATAGCAAAATCTTTCTCAATGGTGGTGTGAGGTACAGAGAGTATTTGAAAATTAAAAGTGACTTTAGACATTTGACTTAAATCAGCTGTATATTTGTAAGGGAAACTAGATATTCGTTCTAAATCATCTTCTGGGTCTAGATTCCGTAGTCTTCATTGCTTGAAAGCTATACAGATGGAGAGGACAACTATAGGTTAGAACATGGCAAACACATAGTTGATTTCTTCTTTATTATTGGCTACTAACAAATTATCTTCTTATCTTTAAGTCAAATAAGTATGTTTATTCTACAACTTCATAAACCATGAGTAAATTTTGATAAGAATGCAGATGTTGGTCAACTACATTAAGGGAACATATACGGATTATTTTTTTTCCATTGATGCCTTTGTACAAGTCTTTATCCCTCTATCATTAACACTCTGTGGGATCAGAGCTCATAGAACAAGTTGGACTCCACCAGCTAAGATAGCTGTCACCTTTTTAGTTTTTACGTTCTTGCATATCACATTTATGTCATTTCTTGCAGACAGCAGGGCAAACAATTGACATTGGGTGTTTTTTCTATTAATCAACTGCACCTTTGAAGTTTTTTTTGTTTTTTTCTTCTTTTTGCTTCTTGTTATACGGAACATATGACCTTTAACCAACTGATTTGCAGAGTGTTTCAGGCTGGCAACTTGTGTTCCAAAGTCAGCAAATCAAAATATTACTGCATATGGCATCCTAAGTTTTGTAAGTGAGCCTTAAACCTTTTGGCCGTGCATGAGAGACTTTAGCATTCAAGATTTTCTGATTATGGGGAATAAAACCATTTTCTCAAATTGAATTTTAAATTCATTCACGCTTTCTTTTCTTTTCTTAGATTAATGGTTGCAGTTCAAGCTTCAGTGTGTTATTCTGGTGGATGTTTTTTTCCTTGTTCTGAATAAACGACCAAGAAAATGCTAGAATTAATTGCTAAAGCAGTAAATGTGTTATGTGTGCATCTGAAAAAGAAAAAAGCACATATCCTACTCTTTGCCACTTTGGCTCTGTTTCCCTTATTCAATTGCATTTCCATTGAATGAAAACCTGAAGATGTGTGGGATTCATTTGAATACATGATAACAGTACATTTAAAAGGTAAGATGAAAAGCAATTATTTACCATTTCTGAGAATGTTAATACAATTGTTGGATGTTAAATCTTCCATTGGTGGCACTTATGGCATTCATTGTAATGAATCCACAAAAATAGTTATCAAAGTGTAATTAAAATAATTGTTTGAACATTTACTCTGCATACAGTTATTCCATCTGTAAATGTTTCTGTGCAATTTTTGGAGGCCATGACTTCATTTAGTGATCTTTGTTCATAGTATATTTTCTCAAAATAATCAAATAACTCACTTAATCTCCATGAAGATTCCCTTAATCTTTCCATTTGCATTTATAGTATTCAGATATAATATTCTGATTTGACACTTAAAACTTACCAATGTAGGCTGGTTTGACTTTCCTGCTCATCATTATATACAACTGTTCAGACCAAGTTCTTGCAACTCGAGAGAGAAGGCAAGCAAAATCCAGAGAAAGGGCTGTTCAGAGTGTAAGAGAAACACAAACGCGTGAAAAATGGAAATCCGCAAAAGATATTGCTAAGAAGTCTGCGGTTGGGCTACAAGCATCATTATCACGTACATTTTCAAAGGTCAAATCTCAAAGGCAACCAGACACTCTGAGAGGTCTAGGTCAAGCTAAACCTGGAACAGATGCTGCCTTACCCCCTATGGCTTCAGGGTCATCCCAGCAAACAACAAAGGGAAAGAAAAAGGATAAAGGCAATCTCACAACGATGTTACATGAGATGGAAGATGACCCTGATAGTCATGGAGGCTTCAATATAGAAATTGGGGACAAAAATGTTAAGAAACATGCCCCAAAGGGTAAGTATTTACATACTCAGAGCCAGATGTTCAGGTATGCTTATGGCCAAATAGAGAAAGAGAAGGCTATGCAGGAGCAGAACAAGAACTTAAGTTTCTCTGGTATAATTTCAATGGCTAATGATGTTGAAATAAGGAAGAGACTAATGATTGAGGTTGCTTTTAAAGATTTAACTATCACTTTGAAAGGGAAAAACAAACATCTAATGAGGTCTGTGACTGGGAAATTATTTCCTGGTCGAGTTTCTGCTGTTATGGGTCCTTCTGGGGCTGGGAAAACAACATTTCTTTCCGCATTAACTGGGAAAGCGGCAGGTTGCACCATGAGTGGCATGGTTCTCATAAATGGAAAGAATGAGCCAATACAGGCATACAAGAAAGTAATTGGTTTTGTTCCACAAGACGATATTGTGCATGGAAACTTGACAGTGGAGGAGAATCTCTGGTTCAGTGCAAGATGCAGGTATCAATACTTATTTCCATCATGCAGGCCACCAGTGGTCCTGATTATTGCTTTGAAGACGTAAATGATCAGTTACAAACTTAGAATTCATCTGAATCTGTATTTTATGTTAAGAATATGTTTGTTGTTTCCCTTTGTGTTTCTCAATAGAAATAAGGTTTTTGCAGGACTGCTTGCATCTAACACATAAACTGTAAGTTCCATTGTTTTGCATGAATTTGTCCCCATGAGTGCCACAAAGTACTTGCTTTTTGTACATTTTTACAAATTTTGGGTGGTCTTTTCAGCCATGTCTTTTTTGTTTCTTCCTATTTTTGAATTTTATTCTACATGTCATGCTAGCAGGCCCTGTACAAGGAATTGAATTTTGCTTCTCCTTTCCCCTTTCTTTTCCCACCATTGATCACCCTGTGGGTTCCTCTTTATTATATAGGCTGGCTGCTGATTTGCCACAACCTGAAAAAGTTCTAGTTGTAGAAAGAGTCGTTGAGTCTTTGGGGCTGCAGCCAGTGAGGGATTCTCTAGTTGGGACAGTGGAGAAGCGAGGAATATCTGGGGGTCAGAGAAAACGAGTAAATGTTGGGCTGGAAATGGTCATGGAACCTTCACTTTTGATATTGGATGAACCAACATCTGGCTTGGACAGTTCTTCTTCCCAGTTACTACTAAGAGCTCTTCGACGTGAAGCTATTGAAGGGGTAAACATATGCATGGTCATTCACCAGCCAAGGTGAGTGTTGCCAAAAAAGAGCGCTGCTGGCTTTCATGAAATAATTTTTTTTTTCTCATTCTGTTCCGTGTTCTCAAGTTGATGAGGGTAACAGATTAGAATGTTCTGTTGGATTTCAGCTACACCTTGTTCAGGATGTTTGATGATTTGATACTTCTAGCGAAGGGTGGTCTTACTGTATACCATGGACCTGTAAAGAAAGTTGAGGAGTACTTTGCCAGCATTGGAATTACTGTCCCAGAACGTATTAATCCTCCTGACTACTTCATTGACATTTTGGAGGGCATGGTAAAACTGCCTGCAAGCGCAGGGATCACTCATCAACAACTTCCTGTTAGATGGATGCTTCATAATGGATACCCTGTTCCGATGGATATGCTAAATAGTGTTGAAGGAGTGGCATCGTCCTCATCTGCTGAAAATTCGGCTCACAGAGGAACTGCTCCTGATGCTGGATCTCAAGGAGAGTCTTTTGCTGGTGACTTTTGGCAGGAGATGAAGTGTAGTGTTGAGACAAAGAAGGACCACATACAGTTACATTTCTTGAAGTCTGGTGACTTATCACAAAGGGTAACCCCGGGCGTGTTGAAGCAGTACAGATACTACCTTGGAAGGTAGATACGCTATTTTGTTCTTCCTGAGATATCTACTATGCTATTTAATTTTAATTGCTTAACTATTAATGCTGCTCATTTATAATTTAAGGCAAATGGATTTTCTTAATACATTTTTCTGTCAGAATGATGTTCCCTGGGCAGAGCGGGAGTAACAGATACAGTTCTATTAATTATATAAAAGTTTTGCTGGAAAAGGAAAGGTTTTTTGTGCAGCTCTTTTTTTTTTCTTTTATAAAACTTTCTTTTTCTTCGAAGGGTTGGTAAGCAGCGGCTACGAGAAGCTAGGACTCAAGCTATGGATTACCTGATTTTATTGCTTGCTGGAATTTGCTTAGGAACACTCGCTAAAGTGAGCGACGAAACATTTGGAGCACTGGGTTATACGTATACTGTCATTGCTGTTTGTAAGTTCAAGTCCCGTTTAGATTCTGGATATGCAATACTTCTATATTTCAGTTCATCGGAGCTGCTGGACTTGTGACCTTCAATATTTCAGATGATTTTTACTTTCTTCTCACCTTTGCACAATTTGAATATCTTTCCAGCTCTCCTATCCAAGATTGCAGCTTTGAGATCCTTTTCTCTGGATAAGCTGCACTACTGGAGAGAACGCTCTTCTGGTATGAGCAGTCTGGCTAACTTCCTTGCAAAGGATACAATTGACCACCTAAACACAATCATCAAACCACTGGTCTATCTTTCAATGTTTTACTTCTTCAACAACCCAAGATCGTCTGTGGAAGATAATTATTATGTTTTGATCTGTCTGGTCTACTGTGTGACGGGAATAGCATACATCTTAGCCATTGTTTTTGAACCTGGTCCAGCTCAATTGGTAAGAATTGTTATTGTTACAGTGGGAATTAATGAAACTCCATAAACAAGCACTGGTTTTACTTCCTTCCATTGACAAACTACTGTCTTACACAGTGGTCAGTGATTCTGCCAGTTGTTTTGACTCTGATAGCAACTCATGCTGACAAGGATGACCCCGTTAGCAAGATAGCTGACTTGAGCTATACTAAGTGGGCTTTGGAAGCATTTGTGGTATCAAATGCTAAAAGGTTTAACATGATTTATCATCCTCATCTTCATTTTTTGTATCATTTCCCTTTCCAATATGGGTACTCATCTTGACCAAAGCTCTGTTCTCTGTTTTCTTCGCTTTCAGATATTCAGGAGTGTGGCTGATAACAAGATGTGGTTCTCTCTGGAAAAATGGGTATGATCTTAAGCATTTTGGTCGTTGTCTAGGCTTCCTCATACTTACTGGTGTCCTCAGCCGTGCGTTTGCCTTCTTTTACATGGTAACCTTCATGAGGAAATAGATCCAGCCTTCAATACTTGTATGCTAATTTCCCCATTCGTTTCTGTACAAAAATGGAAACGTTCAATCCCAAGAAATCCTGCTTCAGAATACCTTATAGCTTATAGGAATGACAAACTCCGGGTAAAATGCTTGTTGATTGTAAATTAGGAAGAAAAATAGCTGCATTTCGGAAAAAAGTCAAGAGTAAGAATCTGACATGCGTCAAGTTTTTTGTTGGTGGGTAAGTACAGCAAACCAGTCCTACATATTATAGGTAGCTCTTGATAGGAATGCATTATGCAACATTGTAACGTTTACGTTACTGATTCATCTGTTTATGTATAAGAACTTGTACAGCCCATTGTCAACAATACTTAATCAAGGATTTCGAATTTAATACGCTTCTCGGAGAAGATTATCCAAGTTTGAAACTTTGCCTAATGGTGGAGGTCGCTTGCTACTTACAACTTGGCGCTAGAAACCAATTGGATTTCCTAGAAAAAGAAAAGGGGGTTTTTTATATCATGCTCTTAGGTATATATTAAATGTTATTAATTGTAGTCTATAATTAATTTTATATAAAATTTTATATTAAATTTATTTATTTTTTATTAAATTTGAGTATAAACATTATATTATATTT